TTTGAACCTAAATAAGGACTAAATGTATGCTTTGTGTAGTTTATCTGTAATTGGTAAGGTATTGGAGACTGTAAGTCTGTATGTGTTCATATATGTTGCATTTATTTATTTCATTTAATTGCAGACATTACAGTATTTCACACTGTCATTGATCTGCAGTAATAATCTAATCATGATTATAAAAAAGTTAGTAATAAACATTTGTACAGAAGTATTTAAGTGTATAAAGCATCTGTTTTGTGAGAAGTGCTTCTCATATGATATGGTAATGACACGTGCAGCTTTACTGTAGACATTTCCTCAAGTGAAAATGGCATTGTCTGAAACTTTCTCTCGTACACCACACCCACCAAAAGAGTACCACTGGTACCCTTTTAGCAGTGGAAACGCAAGCCCAATAAAGGTGACCCGAACTGACCCGTACTGTACTGTACCACTCAGTGGAAACGGGCCAATAGAAACTACAAATTCTGTCATGCACCATACACACAGTGGTTCCAGTTCTCATTTGATTACACACACAGAGCTGGGAGCTGCACAAGGACTAATTACACAGACTATATAAACTGCTCACATTGACACATTGTTCAGTATTTTATTTTTTTGTTTTTGTTTCAGAGCATCACGTAAGCGGTTTCCTTGCTTTATCTAGCTGTGTTTTGACCCTTGCCTTGTTTTATCGTTTTTTTATTGATTCTTTTCCACATGATCTTATATGTGTTTTTGACTACAATTTTGGATGACCTTTATGCTTCTGTTTGCTACCTGTTTGACCGTTGCCTGCCTGACTACACTGTAAAAAGTGCTACACTCACAAAGTTGGTTCTATCTACTTTAAATAATTGCAATCTAGTTAATTTTATTTGTTTTATACCAAAAAAATTAAATTTGCTTCCTCTTTACTTAAAATATATCAGTTTTTATATAACTGTATATTTTGAATAAAACTAATGCAATTTATTTGAGTAGATTTTTTTACGTGGTTATTGTGTAGAATAAATGTTATAAAAGTGAGTTGACACAGACAATTTATTAGAGCAGCTGTCGATGTGGGCAGGTGTTCATAAAACGTGATTTTTATAGTTTTGCGTGACTCCTTTTTCATTGCCCGGGATTTAGCAGGCAGACGCAGCTTCTGCAATGGTCGACATTAACTGCTCCCAGCAGCGGATCTGATTAACACGGTAAGTTGCAAATTTAGCCGAATGATAATTGTAAAGTCATGCAAAACTGCTGTCTTCGCTAGGCAGGTGAGGTTTTAGCTTTGTAAATTGTACTGTAGCCTCAGGTATGTTAACAGTTAGACTGCTCTCACATGGAAAGCTAAGTTGGCTAACGCTAACCAACGCTAGTTTATGCTAATGATTAAAAGTGATATTATTGAGAAAAAATAGTGAAAGTAGTTTTAAAACACTTAGTAGGTATAACTAACGTTGCAGAACCGATTAACAAGGTCACTGGTGGGCGGTCGGGGTGTGGGGGTTCAGTTTGCTAGCGCTAACTTAGCTAAAGTTAGCTCACCTAAGTTATAGCAGCACATTAAGGATGGATATTAAATGCAGAAACGTATGCAACAGTTAAGTAGTTTGTGTTTAACGTAAGAGAAAGTATAACTTAAAGTTTGTGTTTTAGAGATTTAGTCCATAAGTTTTTTAATGCTGCATAGTGAATAAATTACAGATTTACAATTTATTTTAACTTAAATTACATTTACTACTGATGTTTACAGAACCATTTAAACTGTATGCACCTCATTCTAAAATGCATGTTCTTGGTCTTTAGATACCAAAGTGATTTTGTTACCTGTGGATCTTCAAACTTCACATCCAGGTAAGAAAAACATTAGATACAGCTACAGCTATAATTATTTGCAGGCAAGTAAAACATTGGTAAAATTGCAAACAATAGTGGGCTCCATAGAATTAACTTACATTTGATATCTGAAGTGCAACAGTAATTTTTTACTGTTTTTTTTACACAGATATTATGTGTGCAACAGTAAAAACAGTATAAAAATATCCTAATGCAGTTTCTTATTATCTGTCAGTCTTTCAATAAAGCTAACAGATAACACTGAATCACTGAACTGTCATTTGCCAGTGACATTAAATTTGAAGAAAAAGTCAATTAAATGTAGCTTTAGCAAAAATTTAATGTAAACCTTAATGTAATGTGTAAAATGGCAATGTATTTATTTATTTATTTAATAAAATTTGTATTATGACGTGCAAAGTTTGGTGCAAAATGAAGATGACATTTAAATTATAGAACTTGTATTCTATAATTTTCATATAGCCATTTTCAAACAGTTTTAATATCTAAATTAAATACACATTCTTATGCTTTATAAGTTGCCAAAATAAACAAAAAATGTAATACCTAAATTTTAACAATTCTTTGATTGACAGGAAAACACAATGACATGCACTGTTACACTGAGTAAAATCACAGTTTTCTTTAAAATTTGATAATTAAAAACACCTGGAATAATGTAATTACACAACCTCTATAACCTTTTTTTATTTTTTAAATAGAAGTTAGGTAATTTTAACTAAGGTAATTTTTAACTGATAAACTAAGGTGTTTCATCCATGCATCATTCTCACTGGACTTTTGTAACTTCACTTGTAGTTATTTCCTATTCAGTATTTAGCTATTTAATGTTGTTTGGTAGCAACCACCTGAACTCCTGTTTCTTTTTGTCTCTACCAATAGAGTTGTGAGGAATCAGAGGTGCATGCGGCTGCCCACGGGAAAAATTTGCCATCAGCCCAACACAGTTTGGATTATCATAGGACTGTCAGAGGTTTGCCAAACCTGTCAAATGCATGATGGCTCCTGTTTGGACTTACCGATGTCCTCGACTTCAAGTATCCATCAAAACTGTATACATTTGAGATATATTAGAGACTCTTTGTGGGACTGGACATTATGCATCCTAAATCTTCATCAAAATATGCAAATCTCCTCACTGAGTTGCCTTGGATGATTTCTCAATAGGATCTGGTATTATTAATGTTTTTATTTATGTATTGTGTATGTGTAGCCACATTAATGGCCTATTTTGTAGTCACTATTAAAAGGAACATCGATTGATATTGAATACATGTTATGGTCTTTAATCCATCTTCCCATTCTTATTTAATTGTTATTGACAGGAAAGTCTGTTTATCTGTTTTTACTAGTGTATATTGTGCTTACAATATAGAAACGAAGATTTATTTTCTGAGGTTACAGCCAGAAGTCAATTAAATTAGTTTTAAATGACATATGCATGGTTAATTTTATTTAGATCATTAAGTTCATAATACTTAATTAAAATGAGTACAGTCAACATATAGCAATGTATAAGTAAGTTAAGTTTAACAAAAAAAGTAAGTTTATCTGATTTGAGTAATTTTAGAAATATTAGTTGGCTCAACTTAATTTTATTGCATTTGTTTTAAGCAATGTTTTAGTGTTTAAAATACTTAAAAAAGGCTGGAAGTTGAATCAACCTAAAACGTCCGATGCAACCACTTGCCTCACTTTTTATAAGTTAGATCTAAGTAACATTTTTTACAGTGTACTGTTCTTAATAAAACTGGATGTGGATCCTCACCTCTATTATCCCAGACCCTTAGGTGACAGATATGCTTCTTGACATGATCTCTCTATATATAGACCATCCATAAAATAGTTAGTAATTAAAAGTTTAGTTTTCAAATACTTTTTAACACCTGAAAAGTAGACAGTATAGCAGCATTTTAGACAACACATAACTCAAAATATCCAAACACCACTTGAAAATAACCAGGACAGTTGGAGTAGGAACAGACTGATATCATGTATATACTTACTTTATATTGCGTATTTTATTTGTGTTCAGCAGAAGAAAAAATTAATAAAGGTTGGAAACAAGTGGATGATGTTGACGTCTGTGTTTTTGCAGAAGTTGCAAAGTCTTTAGTTGCATACTGTGGGTTGTGGACGCATAAAATCTGTCTGTTTTCTCTACCAGCCACATTTTCAGACTGCAGAACTTAAAGGTCTAAATAATATGTAAACCATTTTCATTCTGTTTTCACTTTTATTGATTTGGACATGGTGAAGCAGTGGCACAGTAGGTAGTGCTGTTGCCTCACAGCAAGAAGGTCGCTGGGTTGCTGGTTCGAACCTCAGCTCAGTTGGCGTTTCTGTGTGGAGTTTGCATGTTCTCTCTGTGTTCGCGAGGGTTCCCTCCGGGTGCTCCGGTTTCCCCCACAATCCAAAGACATGCGGTACAGGTGAATTGGGTAGGCTAATTTGTCCGTAGTGTATGAGTGCATGTGTGAATGTGTGTGTGGATGTTTACCAGAGATAGGTTGCGGCTGGAAGGGCATCCGATTCCGCTGCATAAAAATGTGCTAGATAAGTTGGTGGTTCATTCCACTGTGGTGACCCCTGATTAATAAAGGGACTAAGCCAACAAGAAAATGAATGAATGAATGAATGAATGAATGCTTATATCTGTAATCAACCAACTTGAAGAGTGAGTGTAGATTGTACAATAGCAAAATGTGTTTTAAAATGAGAACGGGAAAAATACATAATATAAAGGAGAAAGAATAAAAAAGTAGCAGAACAGTACAGTAATTCAAAAGTTTACAAATTTACATCCTGTCCAAGGTTATTTACATCTTGTTTTCAAAGAATAATAAAATGTAAGTAAAACATTTTATACATAACTGCAGGAGTTTCCTTGCCTTTAATTGTTTTGTTAAAAAATAGACAGCACATTTGTGTTTCAAAAACATGAAAAAGATAAGAAGTAAAAAGGAAAGTCAAATAGGTTTGGAAAGCATGAATGTTAGCCAAACTTTAGTCATTGTTCCTCACCTACTTTTAATATAAAAGGATTTACCCTGTCAGTTAGAGCACACATTCCTGATTGAGGACCTCCCAAAGGTGTATCACAGGGAAGGGCTGTTATTTTATAAGCGCCTAGATAAACCGGTTATGTGTGCCCAGTGATTGGCTCAATCATTCGGTTCATTCCTGATTGTCTGGTTTAAGCTTTACTGTTATTTTATAATTTCCCATGCAACAGTTACATACAGAACACTCGTCGCTCATACAACGGAATTCTAAAGGACAAAATGCTGGCCTTACTTTTCATCTTGGGGGTGTTGTGTCCCCTAACCTTTGCAGGTAAAAAGAATTTTTTTTTTCTGTACGTCACCTAAATATATGCAATAAATTATGTTGGCATGCATGTTACAATTATATATATTGTATATATATATATATATATATATATATATATATAATTTCTTTTTTTTTTTAGAAATACCAATCAGTTTGCTGAATCCTAACACTGATGGGGTGCTGGCGAGTACATTCCCCAACTCTTTTCTACTCCAAATGCCTGACTGCTCAATTTATGGAAACCAAAGTGTTTTACTGCTGTACACAGAAGCGCCCACCAATCTAAACAGTATGCATCACTTTGTGTACTGATTGTGTTTTGTAATATTCCAGTGGTTATATAGCCTCATGACAGCATCATGATTTGCTTGTTGTGCAGATACAGTGAATTTCACCGTTCAGCCTTGTCCTGTTAGTCAGTCGTGGTACCTTCTGGGTAACCTCAAAAATGGCACAACATACAGGTAAGAATATGTGTGTGTGTGTGTGTGTGTGTGTGTGTGTGTTTGGGGGGGGGGGGTTAATTAACTGTAATATGTGCAGGGATGGGCCAAAATGCATTGAAATGTTAAAATAAAATACCACATACCTCCTTTTTAGGTGTATCAAAATAAACTAAAATTACAGCTGCCACAAATTTATTTAAATAAAGTTCAGTATTTTTGTATTATAAAACTGCTACAAAATACTTTTACAAGTATGCATGAACCTTTTTCGCAAACCTTCCATGAATAGGCCTATTCTATCAATCCCTTGTTCCTGATAAACGTGTAGCTAATTTGATAGTAACAGCTTTTCTCTGAGCAAGTTTAACAGATTCTCTGCCACCTCGTTCATCTCTACTCCTGTACATGAGTAGCCATCTGCACATTTTTTACTTGTTTTTGTTCATTAGGTATATTTTTTGTAAAAAAAAAAACATACAGAAAGCCCTGTTTAACGCAGATAGTAAGTTAGAATGTACTATTATATCTGTTGATTATGTTTCCACCCATTGTGTGACCAGTAAAACTGATATAATCTTGGTAAAAGAATTTTTCAACCTCTTAAAAAATGAAATATTTAAAAAATATGTATAAAGTGTTAATACATTTTTATTTTTTACAAAATCTTTCATAAATCTAGTTTTATGGAACTATTCAATAAGCCTACTTAATGTAATTCATGATTTCTGAAAACTAGAAATTCCAGTTTTAGTAATTTCCATATAGACCATTTCGATGTGGTCTTGTCATTGGCCCATGAACATTTCCTGCTTGTTATCAAGCTATTTTATAACTCAATGTTAAAACCGCTATCGTGTATTATTTATCAATATATGGGTCTTTTTAGATTCTTGAGAGCTATAGAAATTCATTCATTCATTTTCTTTTCAGCTTAGTCCCTTTATTAATCCAGGGTCGCCACAGCGGAATGAACCGCCAACTTATCCAGCAAGCTTTTTACGCAGCGGATGCCCTTCTAGCCGCAACCCATCTCTGGGAAAGTGTAACGAAGTGGCTGACACAGAGGGATCCATTTGCAGTATTTTTATTAAACACAGTTTAATAACAAATAGCACACAGATGTTGTGCATGTGCAAACTCACATCAAACACAGTAGTATATCGTCGTTGGGCTGGCGGCAGGTAAACACAGGATGAGTATGCAGGCATGGATCAGAGGCAGGCGGCTAGTATCAGAGTCGGTAAGCAGGCTAGAGTTCAGAGGCAGGCGGCGAGGATCAAAGTCGTGATACAGGCTGAAGTACAAGGCAGGCGACAGGCAGGACTGGGTGAGTAAACAAAGCAGGATCACAACGGGAAGGCAGACAAGGATGAGAAATGCTCAGTAGTGTTAGCTGGGGCAGAACAAGACTTTGCAATGAAGCAGCGTGTGTGTGCTGCTTATATGTGTGTGGGGAGTGATTACTGGATGCGCTTCAGGTGTGTCTGCAATCAGTGTAAGTGGATGACGTAATGTCAGTAGTCCGGTGATGATGACCTCTGCTGGCCAGTGAGGGGAATGACTGGGACCGAGTCGGTGACAGAGCCCCCTTCCTGCGAACGGCTCCTGAAGTGAGGGGCGCCACGACGCCGGGAACTACCACGGGGACGAGGGGCCGGCATTTCCGTATGTAGACGATGAAACTCACTTAGCAGAGTTTGGTCAAGGATGTCCTTGCGGTTGATCCACGATTGTTCCTCCGGGCCGTACCCCTCCCAGTCGATCAGGTATTGTAGATGTCCCCCCCGACGTCTGGACCTCAGGATCACACGGATATGGTACGCCCCCTCTCCATCGATGATGATTGGTGGGGGACCCTGATCACCGGCTGCCACGTCCCTATCCACCTCGGCTGGACCAGCAGCTGGCTTGAGCAGTGATACATGGAAGGTAGGAGAGATGCGATAATGATCAGGCAGGTTTTGTCTATAGGATACAGGTGTAATTTGACGATCAATCGTGAATGGACCAATGTACCTTGGACTGAGCTTTTTGCAGGGGAGTTTGAGACAAAGGTCTTTAGTGGATAGCCAAACCCATTGTCCAGGAGTGTAAGTGGGACTGGGGCGGCGATGACAGTTGGCCTGCTCCTTAAATCTTCGAACAGCATGGGAGATATGTGTATGGGCTGCGATCCAAGTTGTCTCACACTGTTGAAACCAGTGATCGAGGGCTGGGAGTTCGGATAGTTCGCCAGATCATGGGAACAGGGGGGGTTGAAAGCCTAGGATGACTTGAAAGGGCGTTAGGCCAGTGGCTGCTTTCCTCAAGGAGTTTTGGGCGTATTTGGCCCACATCAGAAAACGACACCAATTTGCTTGATGTTGATGTCAGTAAGTTCTTAGGAATCTTCCAATTTCCTGATTCAGCCGCTCTACCTGACCATTGGACTGGGATGATAGCCGGAAGTTAGGCTGATATTGATGTCAAGGTTTTTGAAGAATGCAGACCATACTCTTGAGGTAAATTGGGGACCTCTGTCAGACACAATATCTTTTGGAAGTCCATAGAATCGAAAAACTTGGTTGCATAGGAGCTCAGCGGTTTCTAATGCTGTGGGAAGCTTAGGTATGGGGATCAGCCTGCAAGCCTTGGAAAGGAATTGATAACGGAGAGTATGGTAGTGTGACCCATGAAAGGGAAAGATCGGTGATAAAGTCAATGGCGATGTGTGACCAAGGGCGACGGGGAACCTCAAGAGGCTGTAGAAGGCCGGCTGGACTGTGACGGGAGTGCCTGTTCATGTTACGGGGGTACAATTCTTCACAAAGTTAATGACGCCCTTTCTCACGTCGGGCCACCAGTAGTGGTTGAGAATGAGATCAAGGGTGCCTGCGATGCCTGGATGACCGGAACTGGGGTTAGTATGAACCTTTTCAATTAGTTTGCACCTGAGTGGTGGTGGGACGAAGACCTTATCAGCTGGACGGAAGAGGATGTTCAGCTGTGGATTGAGCGATTTTAGCCTCTATATCCCAAGAGATGGGTGCGAAAACCAAAAGTTCTCGATTTCCTACATTGTAGTTTCTTTCGGCTGAGTTTAACTTTCGGGAAAAGAAAGCACACGGGTGGAGCTTGTTGGATGTGGCTTGCTTCTGAGATAATACAGTGCCTATGCCTGTATTGGAGGTGTCAATTTCAAGGGTGAAAGGGAGCTTTGGATCAGGGTGACAGAGGATGGGTGCTGAGGAGAATCGGGTCTTCAGGAGATTAAATGCTCTTTCGGCATCTGGATTCCACTTGAGTCTGGGGTTGCTTGATTTAACCAGGGAGGTGAGTGGTGCAGCTACTGAACTGAAGTTGCGAATGAACCTTCTATAAAAATTTGCTAATCCCAGGAAGCGCTGCATCTCTTTCACAGTTTTCAGTCTTGGTCAATTCAACACAGCATTTACCTTGCTTTCATCCATAGCGACTCCATCTGCGCTAATTATGTACCCCAGGAAGGACGTGCACGTCTGGTGAAACTTGCATTTGGATAACTTGGCATACAGCTGGTTCTTGATTAGCCTCTGGAGGACAGCTCGCACGTGATTATAGTGGTCTTCAAGCGTCTCTGAGTAGACTAGAATGTCGTCAATATGCACAATGACCCATTGATTCAACATGTCCCGAAATACCTCGTTAATGAATGCTTGGAACACAGAAGGACTGTTTGCCAGGCCGAAGAGCATCACCCAGTATTCATAGTGCCCGGGGGTCGTTGAGAACCCGGTTTTCCACTCGTCGCCCCGCCTGATGCGTATGAGGTTATAAGCACTGCGAAGATCAAGCTTGGTAAAGTATTTGGCTGAGCGTAATTGTTCCAGAGCAGCAGGGACTAGAGGCAAAGGATACCTGTACTTCACTGTTATTTCGTTCAAACCTCTGTAGTCGATGCATGGGCCCTGTACTCATCGGGAATCATAGAAATCTCAGAGGTATCAGGGCAGGTAACCATATTATTGAGCTGAACAGGGACGATAGAACACAGACAATTTTCAATACATGAATCGCTCCATTTTGTGATCTCACCGGTTTTCCATGAAATGAATGGGTTATGTGCCTGCAGCCACGGTAAACCAAGAATAATGGGATGTTGCGGGGATTTGGTGACTAGCAGATCCAATTCTTCCTTATGAAGAGAGCCAGTTTGTAATGATAGAGGAACTGTGCGGTAAGTGATCTTTCCATCCCCTAGGGGATGTCGGCTACTGGCATGACTGCTAGGGGGAAAATCATAAGAAGTTAGTGGGATGTTGTTATTGTGAGCGAAAGCCTCATGAAGCTGAGTCAACTAAGGCGACAGTGTTAATATTGGTGTTCCTGTAACATCACAATGTGGACAACCATAGCGCTTTTATTAATGGCAAGAATTGAGGTTGTACTAACCGATTCAGGTTTGGAAGGAGGCGTATTGGGACATTTGAGCTTCGTATGACCACCAAGACCGCAATACAGGCAGAGGTTACTCTTAAATCGTCTCTCACGCTCTTCCGGGGACAGATGGGCTCGACCAAGTTGCATGGGTTCACCTGAACTGGAGGAAACTGGAGTGGATTCCTGGCTGGGACAGGAGAGAGCGACAGGTGAGTGTTTTCGGGTGTGAAGCAGATTATCCAGCCTGATTGAAAGCTCAATGAGTTGGTCGAGTGATTTGCCATCATCTCTGCACGCTAATTCGGTCTGTAATTCAGGGTTCAATGCTATGCGGTAGAGAGTCTTTAAAGGATCGTCAGCCCAGCCAGTTTGTGCATCCAAAGTGCGAAAATTGAGGACTGTACTCCGCCGCTGGTTGATAATTTTGCTGGATAGATAATAATTCTTCGCCTGCGTTTCGACCTCCCTCGGGATGATCGAAGACCACACAAAATCGCTGGAGAAACTCTTTGAATGTTGGGAAAGTGAGGGTGTTATCCGGCCAGACTGCAGTAGCCCAATCCAGGGCTTTTCCAGAGAGCAACGAGCAAACAAAGGCGATCTTGCTGTTTTCATCAGTA